GTTTTTTCCCCTTGCTGTTATCCGATACTAGTACTGTGTACTTATGTACTAAATAATGTGCCCTTATGTGTGTAGGTTACAGTTGGGTGGCGAGCATTAAATGAGTTTAAAAACGAAAATAAAATATAGTTTATACTTTGAAAATAAATGTTGATTCCACACTGTAAATTGATAGTGTGAACTGCATATAATATCGTACAAGCGTATAAAAAGTGTATGGGCACCTCAAATATTGAAGCGATACATTGTGGACAGGGGTTATCGATTTTGCTTGTTTGCTCCCATTCGTGATACGTTAATATCGTAAAACGGTCCTGCCACCCCAAAAAAATTCGCTCGCTAACGTTGAGGTGGTTGCTATGTCAAAGGTTCACGCAAAATGATTGTTCTGATTCGCATCGAACACCTTATGTAAAGCAGGACATGAGTAATAGTTTGTTTCATTTTTACAACGTGTTTTCGCGGTATCAAACAAGAACGGTGATAATAATCGATAAACGTGATACGGAGTATCACAATATTGCTGATGTCGATTACCGTATTTTTGCGCATCGCAATCATTTTTTAAATTGGTATTCCAATCAAAAATCATCTAACACAATGGTAAGATAATTTATTAAAGTACAATTTTTCCAGAGATTGCGAGGCATGAACCAATTAGAACAGACCGGTCGAGAAGCAGCCATTTGTGCGTTGATGACCGTCGAGTAGAGCAGTATTTATAATTTGCATAAAAGCCATACTTTGTGATAGCAATTGAGAAAATTATGCCTCGTCTTCATATTCTTTGTTTACTTTTAAAAGAAAATAACATGGCGTCGAAATTACCAACGTCAGCCAGAAAATTACTTTTTTTCTTTTGCTTCATCTTGTCGGATCTTGTGTAGTTCGACGGATTGAGTAAAAATCCCCAATGACGCAAGCTTAACGTAAGCATTTGGTCTCGAATACAACAGATGGCGCCATTGCTAATTCATGAATGGCAATATCCTGAATGGCTGAAATGTCATTCAAGAAATAAACTATCACGAGGAGAAACGGTTCGTATAGTGGAATTTGTTATAATAGTAATTTGTAGTATAGAGTTTGATTTAATACACTTAGTTTAGGTTTCAGACGCTTGCCTGCATCGATTTGCAACCCTTTGCCTTGAGCACACAGCACGGATTAATGCCCTGTAAACGGATAAAGAGAAGATGCCCGAAGTGTAAGTGGTTCTGTATGTATGTATGTAATTAAAATTTTAATTTTTTTTTCATCCTACAATATTATCTTCTGTTTGTTTTATTCACAGATTCTGCGGTTTCCGTGGTTTCAGCATGAATTTACATTTCGCGCAGGCTTTGGCGATTGATCATCCCTTATGCAGTGTCTGCTTAGCTAGTAGATATGGAAGTGCTTTGCTATTGCTGCCAGCGTAAAACACCAGATCGGTGCCTCCCGCAATCTTTCCACCGCTTTATTGTACGAATTCCTTGCAAATTACTTATTAAAATTTTTGTTGTGCGCTTCGGGCGGTATGTGGCAGACGAATTCAACAAATAACAGCGGGTCTGTTGCTGGAAGCAATTTGCAGAACGATTCCAAGGTGATCGTAGCATCAACGTCCAACACTAATTTTTCAGCAACCGCAGCAGACACTGGTTCAACCGTTGTGACTTCACCATCTAGCACTCCCACCCAAGCCACCTACTATCTTATATACCACAATGGATTTCAACTAAGTATTCCACCGAATACAGTGCCACCACCATTTACACCTGCGCATTTTAACAGTACGACCAACTCTGGCACATCCCCTTCGTCGGGACAAGTTACACAGTCTGCAGTTGGCGGAGCTTATAGTTTGCTTGCGAACACATCAATAACTGCTGCTGCAGCTGTAGGTACAAGAACAACAGCAGGAAATACTTCAACAGCAACAACAACGAAGAGGGCGGCAACGAATAAGTGATGGGGTGAGTGAGTTTGAGTATGCTATAAAGGCATGCCTATGCATATAATTATACGTAGTGTATGGATATATATTAAACTCCTGCGCGATTCCATTTAAAGGGCCTAACAAGACATCCGATCGCCGCGCAAATACTTTCCCTCCTTTACTCTATTCGTTCGGGTCAAGTGTGAGTAAGCATAAACCAGTTTCTGCAAGCGTACGTAAACTACCGATCAATAGCAAGACGCGTAGAGTATTTACTTTGCCTTCCGCAACTACTGCGAGTAAAAGGTATTTGACAGTAGAGTACTCTACTGGTAGTACTTCAGTATTTTCGAAGAAAACATACATTTGTGGCAAGAATGATAGAAGAATTTTATGGATCGTGCATTTGTGGTATCTGAATAAAATTAAGGACAGGATTGCAGTGGAGCGATGAAGAGAGCGACGAGCAAAACGTACTTTCAACTAAAATGCTAATATACATACCTAAGCACACATGCATGTATGTGCATAGATACGTATGTGCATACATAGCTACGCATGTGCATAGATACATACCATGCGCATAGATACGTCTGCGCATAGATACATATACATATAAGTGTCCGCATATATTTTTTCTCGTCACTTGTTCTGTCGCTTCACTGCAGCAAAACCAAGTTGTGGGGAAAACCCTGACGATATGCGTACAATTGAAACCATGGGTTTGAAGATAGCGCAAATTGATGTGAAAATTTCAATTTCATATTAAATATATGGTTTTATATAAGTAAGGATTAACCACTTAGTTGGATTAATATTCTTTATTTCCCTTG